GTTTACAGCAAAAACTGGAATAACCCAATATGCATCAGAGGAAAATAGAAAAATTGTGGTATAATCATAAAACGTAAAACTTCAGCAGTAAAAATAGATGAATGACAGCCTCACACACGAGGGATAACTCTCCTCTGTAAATCTGAGTCATGAAGAGTCTATGCAGTACAAGTTCACTGTACAGGCAGTTCAAAACCAGGCAAAACTAAATACTATTTGGTTTGGGGATATATATACTAATTGCAAAATCTCTAGAGAAACTCAAGGGAATAGTAAACATGAGGCTCAGGGTAGAGGTTACATCTTGTGGATGGATGGAGTTGGCCATGGTGGCTTCACAGGTTCTGTTTCTCACAGCACTGATGGGCGCTCGGGTATTTACCTGGTCATAATTCTGTAAACTGGCATTTTTCAAATTGCAGCTTGGGAACCATTTCTGATTAATTTTTTTAAAATGACAGAGTAAAGAAAATACCAAAATTCATTCAAAGGATCCTTCGCAAGAACTACCCACATTGGAACAAAGCCACAGCCAATATTATGAGCCGTGTTGAGAGAGAGGGCCAGGACACCATAAAAAATTAGCACCGGCTAAAAATAGGCCACTTGATCTTTTGCTCACTGGCATCTCTGTAGATTTCCTGGTCTGTGTTCAATCTGATGACAACGCAATTCTATCTTGAGAAGGATTTGATGTGTTACATTTAACCTCACATAGAACTAAATTAACTACTTCTAGAGAAGTGGAAAAGCACATTGTTCATCAATATAAACTAAACCGGAAAACCTTATAAAGGAATAACCAACCAGTAACAGAATAGAAACGTGAATGGAAGACACAATGGAGCTGCTTTAAAAAAAAACTTTAGAGGCACATATTTACGGTGCTTTTTAGAATCACTTTGGTGTCCAAGTCACTTGTACCAAATCTCATTCCCAAAACACAGGGAAAGACGTTAAATTTATGGTAGGATGCCACTGAACAGCCAGTTTTTAGAAAACCTTGTTCCCAGATTGGAGTTAAGCATTTCTGCCTACTGCATCCCACCAATATTGTCGTCATGATGCTAAGCTAGGTGTACAGCCTGAGGTATGAGATTCACATTTTTCTAATTCAAAAGCAATTTCATTAGGCAACTATATTTGAATATGATCTTGAGTAAGAAATCGGTATTTTAACCAATATTTTTGACATTCTTAAACTATATTTGAAACTTCTAAAGGGAAACAAAGATAGTTATTATTTTAAAGATATTATTATTATTGCACTCACTTCTTAGAAGTACAGTATTTGATGTCACTACTATATGTTCTCAACTTTGTTGCAGCTTATTGAAGGGAACACTATTATTAAAGGCATTTGCAAGAAAAACTTACAAAGATTGTTGTATCTCCTTTCTCAAACTTTTAATTATTATTTTCCAAAAGAGAAATATAAAGCACTAAAAAAAAAAATCAGATAAAAGAAGCACTGATTTACAAAATTCTGAAACAATATCTAATTTGAATTTTGGTATTAACATGTATGTAAATTCTTTGATACTCCTCCTTTCTAGAGGTGGAGCTTAATTCCCTCCTCTTGAGTGTGGGCTGCACTTAATGACTCATTGCAAACTGATAGAATAAGGGTTATGACATGGTGTGTGACTATGATTCTAGGACATAAAACACATTGCAGCTTCCACTTTGTTTGCTCTCTCTCTTGGATCACTTCCTTTGGGAGAAGCCAGTCACTAGTCATTAGCCACCTTATGGAAAAGTCCACATGGCTAGGAACTGAGGCCTCCTGGGGCAATCCAGCAAGGAACTGAGGCCTCTTCCAACAGCCATATAAATGAACCATGTTTCATGGGAATCTCCCAGCCTCAGTCAAGCCATCAGATGCAGCAGCCCTGGCTGACAACTGGACTGCAAACTTGAGAGAGGCCCTGAGCCAGAAGCACTCAAGTAACCCTCTGCTGGATTGCTGACCCTGGGAAATTGTGGGAGATAATACATGTTTGTTGTTTTGAGCTGCTAAATTTTGGGTAATTTCTTATCCTGTGGTACATAACTAACACAGAGTCCAAAGACAGAGTGAATTATTGCACTTTAAGTTTTGCTTGCTCTAAATTAATTACACTATTTCCCTCTTATCAGCACTTTTGCTTTCTACGGTTTTAGTTACCTGCTGTCAACTGTGGTCTGAAAATATTAAATGGAAAATTACAGAAAGAAACAATTCACAAGTTTTAAATTGCATGCCATTTTGAGCAGCTTGATGAAATCTTGCAGCATCCTGCTCTGTCCTGCCTGGGAAGTTACTAATCCCTTTGTCCAGTGTATCCACACTGTATATGCTATCGGCCCACTAGTCACATAGTAGCTGTCTCGGTTATCAGATCAATTGTCCTGGTATCACAGTGCTTGTGTTCAAAGAACCCTTATTTTACTTAATAATGGCCGCAAAGCACAAAAGCATGCATAGGAAAAAACACAGTGTATAAGGTTTGATACTATCCCCGGTTTCAGGCATCCACTGGGGGTCTTGGAAGGTATCCTTGTGGATAAGCGGGACGACTGTATTAAATATTATACCCATCATTTGGTTTTAAGATTTAAGACAAATTTCCATGTTTAATAAACAGAATGCATTTTATTACCATTCACAACAATCTATTTATTTGCACTTCAACTTCTAACCATGGCCCAATTAAACACAAAGGAATAACCAGGCTGTGCTAGGCTGATTCCATGATGGTCCACAACAACCACCTTCTGGTTACTCTCTTTCCCCCCAGTTATTCAACCAAACACTAACACAGATGCCGCTGAGAAGGGATTTTGCAGATGTAACTAAGATCTCAAATCAGTTGATTGTAAGACAAGGGGATTGTCCCGGGTGGGACCGTCCTAATCAGGTGAGGCCTTAAAAGCACTGGGTTCTTCCTGAACAAATAGATTCAAAGGTGAGAGGGATTCAATGTGAGGGACTTTCTCCATTGTGGGCTTTGAAAATGGAGGCCGCATGGCAAAGAATGCTGGTGACCAGTAGGTGTTGGGAGCAGTCCTGCTCTGGCTCCTCACTGACAGTTGTCAAGGAAGGAGGGTCCTCAGTCGTACAACTACAAGAAACCCAATTCTGCTAACAAGCTCTGTATAAGCTTAGAGGAAGATCCTAAGCTCAAGATGAGAACCCAGCTTTGTGAAACCCTGAACAGAGAACCCACACACACAACGCACGGAATTCTGACTAAGGAACTGTAATCAAACAAATGGGTGTTGTTTTGAGCCACTAAGTTGTGGTAATTTGTGACGCAGTAACAGAAACTAAAACACAAACTCACTGTGCAACAGATAAGGACATAGCATTTTTGCCAGTGGAATGAATTTATGAACGGATAAGCATGCTAGTACCATAAAATAAAATCTTTCCTAATTTTTCATTTTATGATTTTCAATAACATAATTAAATTTTAATACAATAATATTTCATTCATTTATTCAATGACAACTAATTTAATCCCTACTATGTACAAGAATGGCTGTATATGGCAGGGATACACCTTTGACCTAAACAGCCCAAAGCCCCTGTGCTCATGTGTGTTACATTCTAGAGGTTTCCCAAGAGTGAGACGGAGCCATTGGAGTGTTTTAGTGGAGAAATGACACATCCTGACTCACATTAGCAGGATCCCTGACCCCTGTGGGGAAGATAGTCCATGGGTGGCATGTGAGTGGGTGGCACTGGTGCCACAGTTCAGGCCTGAGAGGGTGGTGGAGATGAAGGGGGGAAGAAGGGGGAGGGGGACAGAGAGAAGGGCTGGAGAAGCAGGGGTAGGAAAAGAAGCAGAGGGAAAGAATTCTAAAGCAGTGGAATCCTCAGACTTCAACATACGTATTGCTTTATAGATCTTTAGTAAATATATCTACAAGCCCAGCAGGGTAGCCTTTGCATTTGGTGTTTACTGTATTCTGTGGGGCTGCCTAAAAACTAATGCCCCTTATGTTAATCAGTTTAGTAATTGTGTCCCAATAAAATATTCACACTGCTCAGATTTGAATAACATAAAAAGAGGCGGTGCAGGGGCTCTGGTGAATGGCATTCGGTCTGCACGACCACTTGCAACTTTGAGAAAATTAATGCACAACAACAAACTGTGCTTCCTCGTGCTTCGTTGTACTGAGGACATGTCAGGGACTCACAGGGACAAACGAGGGAATGAAGATCATTTTAAAATACAACAACCTGGAGTCACAGATATACTGACTGGAAAGTAATAGGAGCTTTGTGAGTCCAACTGCAGGGCTGTGCAGAGACATTTCTGTACGAAGGGGCCCAAATCACTGCTTTTACAGACTGGATTCGGTTTTCAAGATCGTGTTATACCCACTGTGGTTAATAAACAAAAGGAAGCTGGTCTCCATGAGAATCTCTACCTGGTGTTTTCAGACACAACTTTTCCAGGTTGAAATAGAAAACCCGTCCCTCCACCTCCATTCCCAGGGCGACCTCACTCTCTGGCATTAAGTTCCCTGGGGCTGAGTTTTCTTCTAGAAGAGTCCATGGGAGAGGTAAACGCGTGGGAGGCAGGGAGTCCATTGCAGGAAGAGTGATTCTAGTAAGAGGAGTAAAAGGGGCTGAACCCAGCCTGGGGGTCTCTCCCGGTTTCCTCAGACAGCCCCAGGGCCAGGATTCAGGGAGACAGTGTGACAAAAAGTGCTTGGTGCAGGAGGAGAGGGGTCAGGGCAAAATCCCAGGTCCGTGGACGTGGTCGTCAGGGTCCCAGGCCCCGAGGGCGCTGTCTGAAGCTCAGTGGTGGGAAGTCCCTGTCTCCCTGAGTCTCACTTCTCCCTCACAACGTGTGTCAGGTCCTCCTGCCTGGAGACTCATGACGCGGCCCCGGTTCTCACTCCCATTGCGTGTCTGTTTTCTAGAGAAGCCAATCATCGTGTCCGCGGTTCCTCGTTATAAAGTCTGCACCACCTTCCGGGACTTAGATTCTCCTCAGACCTTAAGAATGAAGGTCACGGCGCCCGGAACCCTCCTTCTGCTGCTCTCGGGGTCCCTGGCCCTGACCGAGACCTGGGCGGGTGCGTACGCGGTGCAGACGAAAATAGTCTGTGCGGGGTGCGGAGCGAGGGGACCACGCGGCAGGACGCAGGCCCCCGGGGAAGGCGCGTCTCCTCGGACCCAGCCCAGCCCCCCAAGTTGGCCTCAGCTATCCTGCCCCTCCCTTCTCCTGCCCCGCCCCCTTCCCGCCTCAAGTCCCAGTCCTTCTCCGTCCATCGCCCGTTTTCTGTCTCACGAGACCCTGGCCCGTCCCCTCCCGGCCTCATCAACCTCGGACCCGGGGACCCGCGCCGGGAGGAGGGTCGGCCGGGTCTCAGCCCATCTCTGCCCCCAGGCTCCCACTCCATGAGGTTTTTTTACACCGTCGTGTCCCGGCCCGGCCGCGGGGAGCCCCGCTTCATCTCCGTCGGCTACGTGGACGACACGCAGGTCTCGCGGTTCGACAGCGACGCCGCGAGTCCGAGGATGGAGCCGCGGGCGCCGTGGATGGAGCAGGAGGGGCCGGAGTATTGGGAAGAGCAGACGCGGTGGGCCAAGGACAGCGCACAGAATTGCCGAGTGAGCCTGAACGACCTGCGCGGCGACTGGAACCACAGCGAGGCCGGTAAGCGACGCGGGCCCGGGTCTAGGTCGCGACCCCCCATCCCCACGGACGGGCCGGGGTCTCCCCAAGTCTCTGGGTCCGAGATTCACCCCGAGGCTGCGGACACGCCCAGCCCCCGGACCCGGGAAGAGCCGGCGGGGACTTTTCCGCAGTTTTAGTGTGGGTCTAAATACTGCCTGTCGGTCCGGGCAGGGGCGGGGCCGAGTGGGCGGGGCTGACTGCAGGGCTGGGTCAGGGTCTCATACCTTACAGCTCAGGTTTGGCTGCGACGTGGGGCCGGACGGGCGCCTGCTCCGCGGGTACAGGCAGTCGGCTTACGACGGCGCCGATTACATCGCCCTGAACGAGGACCTGCGCTCCTGGACCGCGGCGGACACGGCGGCTCAGATCACCCGGCGCAAGTGGGAGGCGGCCGGTGTGGCGGAGCGCTGGAGGAACTACCTGGAGGGCACGTGCGTGGAGTGGCTGCTCAGACACCTGGAGAACGGGAAGGAGACGCTGCAGCGCGCAGGTACGAGGGGCCGCGGGACTCCTGATCTCCCGAGGGGCTCAGCCTGCCATCCCGCAGAGAGAGGAGGGAAATGGGATCCACACCTGAACGTGTCCAGGCCGTGGGTCGGGAGACTGAGTCCGCTAGGGTTTTCAGATCCAGTGCCGAAGAGTGGCTCCCCAGAGGGCTTGCCTTTCTCTCAGGGACATGAAGGGGTCCAGTCTCTCCGGGGATGGAGGAGGAAGCTATCTCTGAAATAAGTGACAAGCGGTTCCCTTTGACTCTCGCAGAGCTCTGGGACTTTGTCTCTCAGGCCTTGTTCTTCGGCCCCACACCCTACGTGTTTGAGGTCTAAAGGTTTTCTGAGTCGTTTGGCCTCCACCCAGCTCAGGACCAGAAATCGCTTTACTCCCATTCAGAGACCTGCCTCCTACCCTGGGCTGAGTCACTTTGATTCCAGAAATTTTCAAGGAGTGGAGTTATTTCAGGTTTCTGTGTACAGGCTGGTGTCTGGGTTTTGTGCTCCCTTCCCCACTCCAGGTCTCCGGTCCATTCTCAGGATGGTCACATGAGCCCTGCTTCAGTGGCGCAATGGATGCAAAATTCCTGAATTTTCTGACCCTTCTCCTCAGACCCCCCAAAGACACATGTGACCCGCCACCCCATCTCTGACCGTGAAGTCACCCTGAGGTGCTGGGCCCTGGGCTTCTACCCTGAGGAGATCACCCTGTCCTGGGAGCGTGATGGGGAGGACTTGACCCAGGACACAGAGCTTGTGGAGACCAGGCCTTCTGGGGACGGGACCTTCCAGAAGTGGGCGGCTGTGGTGGTGCCTTCTGGAGAGGAGCAGAGATACACGTGCCATGTGCAGCACAAGGGGCTGCCTGAGCCCGTGACCCTGAGATGGGGTAAGGAGGGAGCCGTGGGCTCAGAGCCTCTTGTCAGGGAAATCAGGAGCCCTTCTGGAGACCTTCAGCAGGGTCAGGGCTGAGGCCTGAGGGCAGGGCCCTCACCTTCCCTTCCCTTCCCTTCCCAGAGCCGCCTCCTCAGTCCATCATCCCCATCATTTGCATCATTGCTGGCCTGGGTCTCCTTGGAGCTGTGGTGGCTGGAGCTGTGATCTGGAGGAAGAAGCGCTCAGGTAGGAGAGGGGTGTGGTCTGACATGTCTTGTCCCACTAGGGTGTTTCAAGCCCAGGTAAAAGTTTGTCCTGCCTGGTCAATGGGAAGTCCCATCCATAGGCACATGTGCTTTCCTAGTCTGGGACCCTGTTTGCTAACACTTACTCTTTAGTAAAGCACTTGTGAGAATGAAGGATAAATTTATCACCTTGATGAGTCTGGTGATGGGGACCTGATTCCCAGCAGTCACAGGACAGAGGAGATGGTGAGGGGAAGTCACAAGTCACAGGTCATGAGGGTGGTTGGTCCAGTCTCCACACATGTGCTGTCATCATGTTTCCTGATCCTGCCCTGGGTCTGTAATCACAGTTCTGGAAACTTCTCTGGGCTCCAGGACTAGGGGGTTCCTTTAGGACCTCATGGCCCTGCTCCCTTCCTGGTTTCTCACAGGATGTTTTCTTCCCACAGATGGAAGAGGAGGGAGCTACACTCAGGCTGCAAGTAAGTATGGAGTGAGTGTGCTGCCTGGGACCCTTTGATAGTGTAGACGGGAGCCCATGGGGGAGCTCACCCACCCCAGAGTTCCTCCTTTAGTCTCATCTCCTGTGGGCTCTGACCACATCCTGTTTTGTTCTATCCCAGGCAGTGACAGTGCCCAGGGTTCTGATGTGTCTCTCAAGGCAGGTGAGATTCTGGAGGCCTGAAGTGGGGAGATGCTGGGGTGGAGGGGCCTGAACTAGGTTATGGAGACTCTTTGATTGGGACATTCTGAGCATGTGGTGGGCTGTTCAGAATGTCACTAATTACAGTCAGTGACAAATTGTTCATGATTATTTTCTTCTATAGCTTGAAACAGCTGCCTGTGGGGGACAGAGTGATGCAAGATTTGTTCCTGTCCCACCCTCATTGTGACTTAAGGAATCTCTGACTTCTGCTTCTGCAAAGGGCATCTGAGGGTGTCTGTGTTCCTATTAGCATAATATGAGGAGATAGGAAGACTAGTCTCTGCCGTGACCCCCTCCCACACTGACCTGTGTTCTGTCCCCGATTGACTTTCCTGTTCCAGCAGACGTGGGGCTGGCTCCATCCCTGTCTTTACTTCGTGTTGCCCTGAGCTGCAGCTTCTTCCTTCCTTATTGAGAATAAACATCTGGATATGAACTTGTTTTTTCAGATTCTTGCCATGAGGGATTGATGGGTTAATTAAAGAAGAAAATTCCTAAAATTTGAGAGGGGAAATAAATGGAGGCTCTGAGAACCTTCCAGAATCTGCCTGTTCACTGTGCTGAGTCTGTTGCAGGTGGCGACAGGAGAAGGCTGTGAGGAGCTGAGTGTAAGACTGAGGCCTGTGCCCAGTCGATGTTCAGTGCATTGTGGCCTTTGACATGGTGACTCCTTGGTGGGGACATCTTCTCTGCTTCTTTGTCCTTGTCCTTTCAGGAGAACCTTGTCCCACCAGGACCTGTGAGCACAGGGATTTGGACATCACCTGGGCCTTGTGTCTCCAGGACCAAGTGCAGGGCGGGCTTCATGTGGCTGGGTCAGCCTGGGCTCAGGCTTGGGTCCAGCCCTCAGCCCCACTTTTGGGTGTTTATTTGTTGTTCCTTTGTTTCTGTAGCGGATTGTGCCTGTTCTTGTTCTTCTGTATAAGTTCTGGTCATTCTCCTCTGGGTGTCCCCCATCTCTGACAGCAGCAGGAGTCATTTGGTCTGTCATTGTCCCCACAAGGCCAGGTGGCCCTGCACACGGGCATCTGTACTGTCCAGAGATGAATTTTCAAACTCGTCCAGCTCTGTCCTTCTTCTAGGGCTTGATTGTCATTTCCACCTTTCCCCAACCTTCTCAAAGGAGCCAGATTCTGTGGGAAGAGGGACCCTATAATTTCCCATCCTAGGCAAGTTCCTGTTGGAATTCTACTCTGCGGCCTGCTCTCCCTCCCCGCCCTTAGCGCTGGTTCCCCCAGTGCTGGCTCCAGTCTGAACGCACAATGTATAAAGCAGAGTCTAGGTTCATACTTGGTTGTACAATAGGACTCAAGTGAAGGATCATTGTTTTCTGAAGAGAGAAATGTAATTGTGTGCTGGGGTGTGCAGGAGGGTTGTTGTGGGAGGGAGAGATGGAGGGAGGAGCGGGGAGAGCAGCACTGGTGAGAAAAGTACAGGTGGCGTTGATGTCAGGATGAGTGGACATTGTGCTGGAGCTGCCACAAAACAACATTTGGCCTCAGGTTAAATTATTGAAGATGCCGTGTCTAGAAAAGGGAGATGCTGTACACTGAACACTCATTCACCTGATACTGGTTGTGTGCTAGATTTATAATATGCTATTTTTGTACCTGGGTAACGTCATTGAAGTAAAAACAGAAAAATTGCTGGCCTTGTGGAGCATATGTTGTAGTGGGAAGAGACATGCTATATACAATAAGCGTAGTGAATAAGGACCATTTTATGTTAGAAGGTGGTAAGCACTACGGAAAAAAATGCAGTGGGGAAGGAGATCCAGAGGGTGGGTGTGGGGACAGGGACGATAGCTGTTTTAATTTGGGGGGTCAGTGGGAGGCAGACTGGGAAGGTGACTTTGAGGAAGGATGTGAAGGACATGAGGAATTACCCACGAGGGTGTCTGGGGGAAGTTGTTTCCAGGCAGGGGAACCTCCAGTGCAGATGCGCTAAGGCAGGCAGGTGTCTGTGTGTCCTGGAAAGAACAAGGAGGCCGGTGTGGCTGGAGCAGAGAGCAGTCGAGATGAGACAGGGGTGCGGCCAGACCATGTAGACCTGGAGGATGTCAGAAGGGTTTTGCCTTTGCTCTGAGTGAGATGGGAAGTTAGAAGACAGTTTAGAGCAGGAGAGGGACATGGTATGACTTCTCCTTTAAAGGATCACTGTGGCTGCTGTGCTGAGAGCAGAACTGGGAGGCAAAGAGCGAGGGAGGCCCTAGGGAAGCAGCAGGAACCAGGGCAGGGTTCCAGGCTGGAGGAGGCCACGGCTTCCACTGCTGTGATCTGTGGAAAGAGTGGGAAGCGACTGGATCTGGATACATTCTGAAGATGGACTTTGCAGCATTTCCTAGTAGATTAATCTGGGAATGAGAAAGAAGAGTCAAGGAGGACACCCCAAATTTTGGACTGTGCGGGGAGAAAGATGGAGTTGCTGTCAGCAAAGATGGGAAAGATTCTGGAAGGAGCATATTTATAGGCATTCACTTTAAGAGATGGTGGAGCTGAGATGTCTATTAGAAATGCAAGTGAGATAGCAGATTGGCAGTTGGACAGATGAATCTGGAGATTAGGAGAAATGTCCGGGCTGGATAAATAGATTTGGGAGGTGATACAATGTAAATGATATCTAAAGCCTTGAGAACAGATGAGGTTACCAAGGGAGTGATGGCTATAGAAGAGAAAGGAACAAGGACTGAACCCTGGACCCCCCAGTGCTAAGGGTTCTGATCAGACTACATACCCAGGGCAGACTGCATGCTTCTGGTTCCATGTCTAGAAGGCATGGAGACCAGAGAGTCCCAAACTTTCCTGTGCACAGGAATCCCCTGGACATCTCAGTAAGATTCAGACAATCTTGACTAGAGCATGAAAGTCTCTATTTATAACAAGGTTGGTACTGATGTGGTATTCAGGTCACACATTGAGTAGCAAGAATGTAGACCAGAGGGGCTGGTCCAGTGTCACAGTAGTTACATTTGCGTGGTCTACTTCAGTGGCCTGTCCTTGGTGGGTTTGGATGCCAGACCTGGTCCTACTCACTGCTCATCAAACCATGCTGTGGGAGTATCCCACATATAAAATACAGGAAGACAGGCAGATTGGCAGAGACATTAGCTCAGGAACAATCTTCCTCACCAAAAAAAAAGGAATGCAGATCAGTATTCCCTCATAGCTGGGCATCACCCTTACCTGTAGGGCTTATTAATTAAGCAGTTCCTTGGTCTTGTGCCTAATATTCTGAGATGGTGGGTCTGGGGAGAGGCCTGAGTATTTTTTAAGAAGCCTCACAGCACTGCTGGTGCTCAGCCCTCATCACTGGGGTCTTTCTAGTGACCAGCCCCCATCCTGAAGCTATCTGGGACTCCTCAGACATCTCATTAGCATATGACACTCACTCATCACTCAGGAGATTCCAAGGGTTTTAGGAGCTCTTTGCCAGGAACCAGGGACAAAGACTAAATATTTTTTGTTTATACTGCAGGCTACTCTCTGGTCTTTGACTACAGATCCCTTATAGCAAAAGGAGCATAACAGTTAGAAGATGCTGGCAAATTACTGGTTCCCATTCAGTCATGAACAATTAGTCCAGTCCCTCATCCTCTTGTATGAGAATGTCTCCCAGGGTGAGGTCACTCAGGTTTGCAGGCTTCCGTTTGATCTTGTCAGGTTCCGGAAGCAGAAATAGTCTCAGCAATATATGGCTACACCTTTTCAGGCATCTGGATAATTGAGCTAAGAGACAATATCATCTGCTGCTCAGGCCTCTTTTAGGTGTTAATGTAATATTGTTTCTCTCATTACACATCCCATTTATTCATTGCTTTACCTTCTGCTGCTATTTTTCCTTCTCTCCATTTATACCTAACTCTTCCACCTTTGGAAGGGACATTAGGTTTGGCTGCGGTGCTGGTCTAGACGCAGGCAGCAATACTAGTGTAGCAGCCCCTCCTCCTCAGTGCGCTCCCATTCATAGAGGAGTCACATAGGTACAGAGCTAGGGGGCTAACTGACCACCAGGCAATATAGCTGCATTCACTGTCAGCCCCGATTTTGCCAGATGGGGTGAAGGCACTCTCTACCCCTTCAGGTCCTTAGGAATTCTGACACAGGGGTTTAAAAATATAGTTACAGTTTCTTGCGTAGGAATCATTCCTGTTTCTGGCACTTGTGAGCATCCCTGACCTGAGACTGATGAGGATTTTTAGGCTGCTTAATTTTAAAACTATAGATGAGAATCAGGCTCAGGGGAGTGGAATTTGCTTGCCCCTTTGTTGGGAAACATTTACATTTCTAAGGGAAACCTCTATCTGTAAAGATGCCTCCCTCTCTGTGCCAGGAAGAAGGAGGATGGCCTTATCTCTAGAAACTCTTAATGCCAGAGGGAAGAACTTAAGTTGTTTACTGCCTGGCAACCTCATGTAACTGACCACACCCCCCCCCCCCCCCCCCCCCCCCCCCCCAAATCCTCCTTTGTCTTTAGCTGAGGATAAAATTCAAGTGGTGACTTCTGCCATTTACTCAATCCGGTTTGATTCTTATCTAAAATTTGTGGGACTGCCAAATGGCTGGACCCTAGGGGCACTGACACCATTTCAACTTTTTTACATATTCTTTGTCTTGTAAAGAAATAACTCACATACCTATGCCTTAAATTTAGCCTTAATCTCTACCCAACTTTGCAGCAGAAGCAGCAGCAGCAACATGCCAGCATCATCTCTGACTGCCCATGGGCCCTGTCCCCACGCAGAAGCTCTGCCTGCTCATGGGTCCTGTCCCCATGCTATTCTATACTATTCTGTAAATAAAAGAGCACTACTGCTAGATCTTAAGAGTCTAAGAAATCTTTCTTTTGACTCCTCGGCTCACCGACCCCGCATCAAGACCACTGCATCAGGCAGGAAGAAAGAGAGTTGAGGTGGATATAGTCATACCACCTTCCTCCACATTTTGGAAGAATTGTGGAGTCATACTAACATGGGGTTGGTGAGCTGAGGAGTCGAAAGAAAGATTTCTTGGACTCTCAAGATCTGGCAGTAGTGCTCGTTTATTTAGAGAAGAGTGTGGAATAGCATGGAGACAGGACCCATGGGCAGTCAGAGTTGCTGCATGGAGACAGGACCCATGGGCAGTCAGAGTTGCTGCATGGGAACAGGACCCATGGGCAGAGTTGCTGCCACTGCTGCTGCTGCTGACATTGCTGCAAACATGAGTTGAGGGTAGGGCTAAATTTAAGGCATAGGTATGTCAGTTTTCTCTTTACAAGACAAAGGAAAGAATATGTAAAAAGAGTTGTTAAAATGGTATCAGGACAGGTGGGGTCTGGTTATTGGGTGGTCCTATAACTTTTAGATAAGAATCAAACCGGATTAAGTAAATGCCAGAAGCTGCCCACTTAAATATTATCTTCAGCTAAAGACAAAGAAGGATGTTGGGGTGGGGGGGAGGTCAGTTACATGAAGTTGCCAGACAGTAAACGACTTATGTTCTTGCCTTTGGCATTGATTAAGGGTTTCTAGAGATAAGGTCATCCCCCTTCTTCCTGGCACAGAGAGGGAGGCATCTTTACAGATGGAGATTTCCCTTACAAATGTAAATGTTTCCCAAGAAAGGGCAAGCAAACTCAGCTCCTCAGAGCTGCTTTTATTAAAAGTAACCAACCCCCTTCTCATCTGCAGTTTTAAAAGTAACCAGCCTAAAATAATCCTCATCAATACCAGCATCTTCCTCCACCCCTCCTCCCCAGATCTTCCAGGAAAAAGAGAGGAAACTTTCTAGTAGGGACATGCCTTTAGCCCCACTCATGTTGAGTGTGAGCAGACACCTGTGAAGGTGTGTAAGCCAGCCTTTTGTGCCTCTGTATCCCCCACCACCCCATTTTAGACAACCAATATTCCAATTGTGCATTCAAATTTCTCTATCACACTATTCCTCTGAGGAGGATGTCTCTCTGCCCATTGTTGGACTTTATGGGCTGTAAAGTGTGTTCTTTGGCCTGAAGAAATGTGACCCAGCAGTGCAAATTGGTGTACTGTCTTCTGTTCTGGTTCTTTTATAGCACTCTGAGCATTTATATCTCCCACTGGATAAGCAAAGCCCAATCCAGGGTCAATATCTACTCCGGTCAAGACCCATTTGTAGCCCCCTGGGCCACCAGCATCAGTCTGATTTGCCAGCTATGTTCAAGACATTCCCACCAGGCAATCTGCCACATAGCCATCTATTTTCTCTGGTTGGCAGACAGAACAGTTCTTTTTGGTATTTTTCTTCAGAGGATGCAAGTGGAATATGTCTAGACTCAGCCCATCTCTGCTTCGCTGCAGCCCCTCAATGTCTACTTATGTCATGGATCCAGGTAGCCACATCAAGGGGAATAATGTGTTATTTGCTCATTGATTCCAGACTCTTCCCAACCCAGGAGGGCCTTCTTGTGATGGGCATCAACATGTCGTACTTTACACACCCCTGAAATTCCCATAGTGATTTCCATAGGACTGTGCTCCGTATGGCGTTCCTTTAATAGACCAGGTTTCCCTTGCCCTTTGCCTAACCATATGGCCTGGCTGTTGACTACCGTCTATGAGTTTGTAAAAATCAAACATTAAGGGCTTTTATCATTGTTCAATTCTTCCATCACTGCTAGGAAAACTGCATGCAATTCAGCTCATTGAGCTGATCTGTTTTTACTTGATCAGAAAGATGATGTTCCAAACTGGGTTTTGTCTGCTCACCTTGGAACTGCCATCCATAAACCAGGCAGCTTCTCTTAGGTCAGTTGAGAACTGTTTTTAGGATATTGTCCAAGTGATGAAACAATCCAGCAGCTCCTCATGCATTCCAAAGTTAGTCCGAGGGGAAGACAGGCTCCCTGCTCATGCGTGCATCCTTCCTGTATTTCCCTGGGAGCACGATCCTGTATAACCTGTCTCCATTTTTAGTGGAACTCTGTTGAGCAGTGTCCCCTTCATCAGTGTGTTCCTCTGATTTTGTCGAACACAACATGGGTATTTCAGTTTTAAGATTATTTTACATCTTTTAGTCATAAGGGTAGTTTCAATTAATGTCCAATAGCAAGCTAGTAACTGCCCCTCAAATGGAAACTCTCTACTTCCAAGTCCCATTAGTCATCACTGGGAGATGCTCAGGGGCTTTTGCCAGAAGCTCCAGTGCCCGCTCCACCCAGGGCTCTTGTGCGGAGAGTGTGTCTGCACTGCACTCCAGCTTCTGTTCTACACTGTTGGGTTTCCACAGAGCATGTCCAGTTAATATGGCTTGAAGGGTGGGTTTACATGTCTTCTGTGTTACAATACTAAGTGGGGAAAGTGTTCCGCAGTCAGACAGATTTTCCATTCCCATAAAACAGTCAGGTAAGGGAGACACAACTTGTTCACTTAAAGCCTGTTTAAACATTCCAATTTCATCCAAATTTTCACCTTCATCTTATCAACTCTTACATTTGTGTATTCTCTCAATCTCACTGTAGCCCACTTTAGGGCTTCACCAATGGGTTTTGGTGCCACAGTGCATGGGGCTCCTGTGTAAAGGAGTCCTGGAAACTTCTCTCTCCACCCCTGACCCTTTGACCCACTCTTGTGTAGAAGGCTCTGGATCCCAGCGAGGCATCAAGCCAGATAGCCTTGGCTCTTTTGTCATCTTTTCCTTGATTAATCTGCCTGACTACTGCAGGTCAGGGTTCTCATTGTGATCTTTGCCTTCCTGCTTTTAAAAGTTCTCTAAACTGGGACAAATGGAGCCATCTTATTTGGGGTCCTTTTGATGTTGGGGAACCAGCAAGAGTCCCCTTGGTTCAACCAACCTTCAGTTGTGCTATAATAGACCTTTGTTTTAACCTCATCAATGTTTGTTTTCTTCATTCCATTGTTTAAGTATCATATGTATTAGTGTTCTCCAGAGAAACATAACCAATAGGATATATATAATATGATATAAAGACTTGGCTCATGGAATTACGGAGAATGAGAAGCCCCATGATCTACCATCTGTAAGCTGAAGACCAAAGAAAGCCAGTGCTGTAATTCAGTTTGAGTCAGTAGTCCTGAGAACAGGGGAGCTAGGGGTCTAAATCCCATTCTGATCGCAGAAGACTGATGCCCCATCTCCTGCAATGAGGCAGAAAAAGGGGTGAATTCTCCCTCCCTCCACTTTTTGTTCCATTCAGGTCCTCAATGGATTGGATGATGCCTACCCCCATTGGGCAGGGCAATCTCCTTTGCTGAGCCCACCAATTCAAATACTAATGTCATCTAGAAACTCCCTCCTAGACACATGCAGAAATAATGTTTAGCCAAACATCTGGGCACGCTGTGACCCCATCAAGCTGACATATAAAATTACCCACCCCCTGTCAATCTGGTACTGATATGCATCTCCTTAATCTGCACTTAATCTCCAAATAATGATAATGACAAGGTTATCATTTCACTTACCATGATTCAGCTATGCTGCATACAACTGAAAATGCATTAACTTCTTCCCCAGAAGAGAAGGTAAAGTGCTTGAGTGATGTTTATTCTTCTCTTTGTAAATACCGTGATGTAAAATTAACAGTACTTAAATACTATGATATAAAGTCAATGCATCTTATGCTACATGATAAGGGAAGGAGAGGAAAGAAAACAAAGATATTATACACACACACACATAACCTTTTCATTATTCGTAACAAATGAACAGGAAATACTAGTCCTTGTTTCTTTAACTGATCACTTGGTTATAGTTACTAATTGTAACTACCTTTTTCACCATCCACTCTGTGTTTCCTTTGCCTTCAGCGAGCATCTCAGCTGGTCACTGTCTTTTGCCTGGTAGGGTGACCCAAACCTTCATTCCTGTAGAGTCTGGGTCATTAGTAGTCCTGCTTGCACTGGGTTGTTGTAATTTTCCATTGACCTTAATCACAGGGCATGATAATACTAAAAGATGCCCTAAGTGTTCTCCTGTGTTCCAGACATACCCTTTCTGACCTCCGTTGTGGAACAGTAGTCCAATTTCCCCTTGTCGTGAGGATCAATCACCTCACCCAGCACGGTAACTCCCTTCTTTGCCTGTTGATTCAGAGGCACAAGGAGCCCAAAGTGGCCAGATGCAAGTCTCAGCTTCCAGTTCAATGGTATCCTTGTTGTGTCTCCTGGTGGAAGCATTCCCCGTTCTGGAGCTAAGACCTCTAGGCCAGTAGAGCACAAAGTTGTAGGAACAGGAAGCAAAAAGTTTGCTAGTGGCTCACTAGGGGTCGTAGTGTTGCCATTCCCATTTCCAATGCTCAATTCCTGGACCCAGGAATCCTAGCTATGGGAGAAACAGCAGCAGATATTGGATCCTGATTCAGAGCATATAAGCCATCTGGAGAACTTTGCCCCAGCCCTGCAAGGTATTGCGACCCAGCTGGTGGTATAACTGAGTCTTCAAAATGCCATTCCACCATTCTTTGTAGCCAGTTACTTCTGGACGGAGGAAAATGTAATAAGCCCCTTGAATTCCATGAGCATTGACCCATTACCACACTTCTTTTGCTGTGAAATTAGTTCCTTGATCAGAAGCAATGCTGTGTGGAATGCCATGATGGTGAATAAGGCATTCTGTAAGTGCACACATAGTAGTTTTGTCAGACGCATTGCCTGCTGGGAAAGCATATCTGTATGAAGAGTAATTGTCTATTCTAGTAAGGAAAATGCTTCCCATTCAATGATGAAAGCAGTTCAATGGAATTAACCTGCCACCGGGAAGCTTGGTGACACCCCAGGGAATTGTGCCATATCAGGGACTCAGTCTTGGTCTCTGCTGCTGGCAGATTGGGTACTCAGAATTGGTACTAGCCACCTCAACCTTGGTGAGTGGAAGTCCATGATGCTGACCCCACTCATAACCTCTGCCCCTACCACCATGGCCACTTTGTTCACGAGTCCATTTTACGGTTATGGGAGTGACTAGGGAAAGAGGTTGACAGGTTTCCTCACCTGATTATTAAAATTCTCCTCTGCTGACGTGACCCTTTGGTAAGCATTCACATGGCACACAAATATCTTCACATTATTTACCCATTCGGAGAGGTATATCTTCATACCTCTTCCTCAATTTTCCTTGTTACCAGTTTCCCAATCATGTTCCTTCCACATCCCACCCAGGCAAACCACTGACTGCAGTCGGTGAATCTGTATACAGTTGTGTATGTGACCATTTCTACTTCAAAGCAAAGCGAATGACCAGGTGACTTTTGTCAGTCCTGCTCACTGGGAAGATTTTCCTTCACTGCTGTTATTCAAGGGTGAGTACAGAAGGGGCTGTAGTGTCGCAGCTGTCCACCTTCAGGTGGTGTCTGCCTATGGTGCAGAATCATCTATGGACGAGGCCTGAGCCGTCTTTTCTTGTGTGAACTGAGTGTAGGGAACTCCCCAGTGAGCCCTAGGTGTGGGCTGGGAGAGAGAAGGTATTGTAGCAGGAGTACAGAAGATAGGCGGAACCGTGGCCATTTGGACCAATTTTTCATGGAACTTGTGGCCCCAGGGCCTTCTCATGCCTAATTGTGTATATACCACTTCCATTTGATGATAGAGTGCTACTGTGCATGCCCAACTTTATGGCTTGTGTGAATCAAATAACACCCATTTCATGATGGGTAACTCAGGTTGCACGGTAACTTGGTGGCCCATGATTCTGTGTTCAGTCTCTACTGAGGCACAGTAGCAGACCAAGAGCTGTTTCTCAAAAGGAGGGTAGTTATTTGTAGAGGATGGCAGGGCTTTGCTCCAAAATCCTAAGAGCCTGCACTGTGCTTCACCCATAGGGGCCTGCCAAAGGCTCCAGACAGCATCTGTATCTGCTACTGACACATCAAGCACCACTGGATCTGCTCACTCATATGGTCCAAGCAGCAGAGCATCTGTCACAGCAGCCTGGACCTGTTGCAGAGCCTTCTCTTCTTCTGGGCCCCACACAAAACTAGCAGCCTTTCAGGTCATTCCACGAATGGGCCAGAATAACTCACCTAAATGAGAAATATGTTGCCTCCAAATGCAAAGAGGCCCACTAGGCATTGTGCCATGTTAATGGCTGTAGGATGGGCGAGATGCAAAAACTTCTCCTTCATCTTAGAAAGGAGATCTTTTTCTTCCCCAGCTTTGTTGAAATTTGACATGTAACATTGCGTGAGTTTAACGTGTACGACGTGATGTTTTGATACATGTCTGTATTCCAAAATGGTTATCATGATAGAGTTACTTAACACCTCCATCACCTGATGTAATTATATATATCTATTTTTTGGTATTGAGAACATTTAGTTTGCTCTCTTAGCAATTTTCAAATATATACTATACTATTGTTACCTATAGTCACCATGCTGCATATTAGATCCTCAGAACTTACTTATCTTATAACTGGAAGTTTGTACCCTTTCACCAACATCTCCCCATTTCCTCCTTCGCCCATGCCCTGGCAACCACCATTCTACTCTCTGTTTCTATGAGTTTAGCCTCTTTAGATTCCACATATAAGTGAGATCATACTGTATTTGTCTTTGCCCGACTGATTTCATTTAGCATAATGCCCTCAAAGTCCATCCATGTTGTTACAAATGACAGGATGTCCTTCTTTCTCATAGCTGAAGAATATTCCATTTTATATGTATACCACATCTTCTTTATCCATTCTCCATCGAGGGACATTTAGACTGTTTCCATGTGTTGGCTATTGTGAATAATGTCGCAATGAACATGGCAGTGTGGATAGCTCTTTGAGATCCTGACTTGATTTCCTTTGGATATGTGCTGATGTGTGTCTGCTGGATCATATGGTAGCTCTATTTTTAATTTTTTGAGGAAGCTCCATACTGTTTTCCATAGTGGCTGTAGCAGTTTGCAATCTCATCAGCAGTGCACAAGATTTCCCTTTTCTCCACATCTTGACCAAGAGTTATCTCTTGTCTTTTTGATAATAGCTGTTCTAACGGGTGTGAGGTGATATGTCATTGTGGTTTTGATCTGCATTTCCCTGACAATTATGGTGTTGAGCATCTTTTCATGTACCTGTTGGCTATTTGTAAGTCCTCTTTGGAAAAATGTCTATACACATTCTCTGCTCATTTTCTAATTTGATGGTTTTTTTTCCTTTTTTCTATTGAGTTGTATGAGTTCTTTATATATTTTGGATGTTAACGCGTTTTCAGATTGACAGTTTGCAAATAGGTTCCCCCATTCTGTAGGCTGCTTTTTCATTTTGATGATTGTTTCTTGTGCATTGCAGAATCTTTTTAGTTTGAGAAAGTCTACTTATTTGTTTTTGCTTTTCTTGCTTTTGGTGTCATATCTAAAAATTATTGCCAATACTAAAGTCAAGGAGATTTTTCTCTCTGTTTTCTTCCAGGAATTTTACAATTTCAGATCTTACATTTAAGTATTTAATCCATTTTGAGTTGATTTTTGTGGATAGTGTCATGCGGGGATCCAATTTTACTCTTCTGCATGTGACTATCCACTGTTTCCAACATTATTTATTAGACAGACTAAGCTTTTCCCATAGAGCATTCTTAGCTTTCTTTTCAAAAATTAGTTGACTGTATACATATGTGAGGGTTTATTTTGGGGCTCGTGATTCTATTCCATTGGTCTACGTGTCTGTTTTTATGCCAGTCCTGTAGTGTTTTCGTTACTATCTCTTTGTAACGTAGTTTGAAATGAGGAAGTATGATGCCTCCAGCTTTTTTCTTTTTTTTTCTTCAGGATTGCTTTGACTATTTGGGATCTTTTGGGGTCACATCCAAAGTTTAGAATTGTTTGTTCTATTTCTGTGAATAGAGGTTTGGAATTTGGATAGGGATTGCATTGACTCTGTAGATTGCTTTGGGTAGTATGGACATCTTAACACTATTAATTCTTCCAATGCAGGAATATGAGATATCTTTCCACTTATTTGTGTTGTATTCAGTTTTTTTTATCAAAATCTTATAGATTTAATGCATACAGCTTTCACTTCTTATTGTAAATTGTTTTCTTCATTTATTTTTCCTAAAATTTGTTGTTGGTTTATAGAAATGCAACTGACTTCTGTAAACAAAAGTCAATTGCTCTTCTATATAGCGGCCTGAACAAATGGAATTTGAAATTAGCAACACAACAGTATTTACATTAGCATCCCCCCAAATGAAATACTTATGTATAAATAATGAAATATTTGTATGTATATGACCTATACGAGAAAAATTACAAAACTCTGATGAAAGAAATCAAGAACTAAATTCATTGAAAGGTATCCCATGTTTATGGATAGGAACATGTCAATATTCCCAGTCTGTCAAGCTATCAGTGCTTTCCAAATTGACCAACAGATTCAGTGAAATCCCAATCAAAATCCCAGAAAATTATTTTATATCAACAAAATGATCCTAAAGATTCTCTTGAGAGGCAAAATACCGTAGCAGGCAACACAATACTAAAGGAGAAGAACAAATTGGGAGGACTGACACTACCCAACTTCAGGAATAATTCTCAAGCTACAGTAATCAAGACAGTGTGGTATTGGTGAAAGAATAGATCAATGGAACAGAATAGAGAGCCCAGCATAGACCCACATAAATATAGTCTATTGATCTTTGACAAGTATCAAAAGCCATACAATGGAGCAAAGACAGTTTTTTCAATAAATTGTGCTGGAACAGCTGGACAACATCCACATGCAAAAAAGTGAATCTAGACACACATCTTACACCCATCACAAAGATCAACTCTAAGTGAATCATAAACCTAGATGTAAAGTACAAAGTTATGAAATTCCCAGAAGATAGGAGAAAACCTAGATGACTTTGGGTATGGTGATGGCTTCTTAGACACAACAGCAAGGGCATGATCCACAAAGGAAGTAATTGATAAGCTGGATTTCATTAAAATTAAAAAATTCTGCTCTATGAAAGACAATGTCAAACGATTGAGAAGAGAAGCCACAGAATGGGCAAAAATATTTGCAAAAGATTGTCTGATAAAGGTCTTTCACCCAAAATATACAGAGAAGTCTTAAAACTCAACAGTAGGAAAAGAAACGACCTGATTGAAAAGTGGGTCAAAGATCTTAACAGTGATACCTTATCAAGGGAGATTTGCAGATGGTAAATAGGCATATGAAAAGATTCTCCACATCATGTGTTATCAGGGAAATACATATGAAAACAACAATGAGGTACCACTACACACCTGTTAGCATGGCCAAAATACAGAACACTGACCACACCGAGTATGAGGTTGATGTGGAGCAGCAGGAACCTTCATTCACTGCTGGTGGGAATGCACAATGGTGTAGCCACATTGGAAGACAGTTGGTGGTTTCTTACAAAACTAAACATACTCTTACCATACAGTCTAGCAATCACACTCCTTGGCATCTACCCAAAGGAGCGGAAAACTTATGTCGACGTAAAAACTTGCACACAAATGTTTATAGCAGCTTTATTCCTAATTGCCCAAACTTGGAAACATGTATGATGTTTTTCAGTAGGTGAAAGGATAAATATGCTGTGGAACATCCAGACAATGGAATATTATTCAACATTCAAATAAATTAGCTATTAAGTCATGAAATGACGTGGAGGAACCTTAAATGCATACTAGTAAGTGAAAGAAGCCAATTTGAAAAGGCTACATACACGACTCCAACTATATGACATCTTGCAACAGGAAAGCTATGAAGACAGTAAAAAGATGAATGGTTGCCAAGGTTAAGCTAGGGGGTATGGTTGAGTAGGTGGGGATTTTTAGGGTAGTGAAAATACTCTATGTTATATCATAATGATGGATACATGTCATTATATTTATCCAAACCCATAGAATGTGCACCACCAAAGTAAACCCTATTGTAAACTATGGCCTTTGGGTGAATATGACATGTCAATGTTGGCTCATCAGTTGTAACACTTGTACCACTCTGGTGAGGGATGTTGATAGTAGAAGAGGCTATGGGCATGTGGGGGCGGAGGGTATATGGGAAATCTCTGTACCTTGCTTTTAATTTTGCTGTGAACTTAAAACTGCTCTAAAAAAATAAAGTTTTAGTAAAACGAAAACAAAACAAAGCAAACAATTCATCTAGCTTGTTGTATGCATTAATAGTTCATGTTTTTTGATCACTGAATAGTATTCTAGTGTCTGTTGTACTCTTTGTTTATCTTTCCACTTTTGAAGGATATCTTGTTTACAGTTTTTGGTGATTATGAATAATGCTACTCTAAATATTAACCTGAAGTTCTGTGGAAATAAGTTTTCAATTCACTTAGGTGAATATGTGGGAGTGGGATTGCTGGGCTGCATGCTAAGAGTACGTTAAAGTTTGTAAGAAAGTTTCTTGATGTCTCAACATATGATTTCTCTTAGTGAATGCACCATAAGCACTAAAAATGTATGTATTCTGGGGGCCAGCTCAATGGCGTAGTGTTTAAGTTCAGACACTTTTAGTGCTTTTTTTTCGCGGAATCTTGTTTGAAACAAACCACTAGTTTTATTTTATCTGAAAATATCTTTTCTTTTTTTCCCTGAAGAACACTTTAACTGATGTAGAATTTTGAGTTAACAGTTTGTTTTCTTATGGTGCTTAAAAAATGTCATTTCATTGTCTTCTGACTTCCATTGTTTCTGATGAAAAATTAGAGACATATTCACTGGTCAGTCTTATAACTGTTCCCTGTATGTAACGTGTAATTTTCCTCTGGTTGCTCTCAAGATTTTCTGTTTATCTTTGGTTTTTGTCAGTTTTACTAGGTGTGGTTTTTATGTATATATATACTGCTTGGGGTTCAACAAGTTTATTGAATCTATAAATTCATGTCTTTTACCAAATTTTGGAAAGTTTCGGGCTGATCTCTGACAAAATAGAAATGGCAAGCAATAGGATACATTGAAGTATATGAGGAAGCCATTTGATGTAAACCTAATTCAGCCTGACCTTGTCTTTCCAAAAGGGCCTCACCGTGGCTGTTGAGCATGCATTGTATATCTGCTTTAGACATTTCCTATGGCAAGAAAAAGGCCCTTGAGATAAAGGTGCAACTTCCCTCCCCCTCCCAACGTGGGCATTCCCTTAAGGATTAAGCATCTTTCCTTAGGCTAGGAACTGATTGTTGCGCTCACCTGTGACTACCCAACTAGAGACAACAGACTTGCTTCCTGCTGCACCCGCCAAGATAGCAGACCCACTACCTGCTGTGTCGATCAGGCGCTGTGCAGACAGGGCAATCTTGTGACTATTGTAAGAGGGACATTTCAATCATATGTGAAACATCCTGTTTGGGGGTATATAACCACTCTGTATACCTCACTTCTTTGGTGCCCTTTCCTCCTTTGGGAAGAAAGGCCCCAGGCCATGGTCCGCAGATTTTAGCTCAGAATAAACTCTCCCAAATTTTCATTTGTAGATTGGTTATGGATTATTTTTGTCGACATCTCTTTATATATTTTTTCTATCCTGTTCTCTCTTTCCTCTCCGGGGGTTCCAGTTACACACATGTGTGCTTTCTTGGATATTGTCCACAAGGCTCTGAGAATCTGTCACAGGCAAGCTTCAGAAGAACTCAGCAAAATAGCTTTTCCCTTCTCTAAGGGCACTAAGGCACATCAGGGTTTGGTGACCTGTCCAAGTTACACAAGCAACTGAGTGACAGAATCAAGGATTAAAAACCAATCCTTCCATCATAACCCAGTGACTTAAAATAGAATCCAGTAATCCATCCTGATATTAAATGGATATGTAAATAAATATTTGGGGACAGGCGGAGTGAAAACTCTACTCTCTACTGTGGAATGCTAATTAGTAAATATAAGAGAAAGAATCGAGTTTGAAAAACCATTGTTTGCAACCATAGTAGTAATAATGGATACAGACAGGAGTCATCAAGGAAGGCTAAACTAATGAGTGAATGTTGTTGAAGAACAGGATAGTTACATATTTTCAAAGTATCTCCCCTCAAGTTCCTTCTCAATTATAATGGAAAACAGTAACTTTATCCTGGAAATACTTGGGAGGCACTGCCTTAACCCAGTGATCAAGTTGACGTCACCCACAGTGGGCTTCCTGATGTGAGGCTCTGAGAAGGATGCAACATCCCTTTTGCAATATTCCTACCAGAACTGCATAACTAGAATCTAATCATGATGAGACATTGGATAAACTCAAGTTGAAGAACTTTCCATGATATAAAGGGCCTGTCCTCTACGAAAATACCAACATCGTTAAAAATAAATAAAATCTGAGGAACTGTTCCAGATTAAAGGACACTAAAGATACGTGACAACTGAATGCAGTGCGTGTTCCTGGATTAGATCCTGGACTGGAAAACAAGTGCCTGTAAATATTATTGTGACAATTTGGGACATTTGAATAGGGACAGTAGTATTGAGTCCACGTTAACATTCCTGATTTTGATTATTGTGCTCTGGGTGTGAAAGAAAATGTTCTTGTTAGAAATATATGCTAAAACTTTTGTGAGTAACAACGCAGAGATATCTACAATTTATTTTCATATCATTATATATGCAGCAAATGTGGCAAAATGTTAGCAGTTGGTGAATCTGGGAAAAGGTATATAGGATTTTCTTGTGCTATACCTGCATGCTTTCTCTAAGTTTGAAATTATTTCAAAATAAAAATTAAAAGAAATCAAGTTATTCTGAGTTCAACACAACATATCACACTTTATTTAGTATAGTCTTTACTAGTCAAACATGGATGGTTATTTCTCTAATATTTTGACCTTTTCTTGAAATCACTTGTTTCAATCTCCCAGCATTAGGATATCCTTAATACTGTTCCCTCCTGTTTGAAGACTTCTGTTTGAAGACTTCCTAAATGACATCTTTCAAATACAGAAAACTCTCTAAATCTAGGGATTGTGGGATTTGGTGAAAAGTATCTCAGTTTAACTTCTACCACGAACTTTGGCCATCAAGGTAAGAGGAATGAGAGGGAGGGAGGAACGCCTTTATTTTCTTTCACTTGGAAGAGCTCCCCACTCTTGCTGTTCTTTGCATGTCCCTGGCCTGAGGGAAGGATGGCTCCCTTAGGCCATGAGAGAAAAATGATAATGTGGAAACATCTTCCTCCATCTCCTCCTCAATCCTTTGGCTTTGAGTGTTGAGCTCTGGAGTCTGAACAGGAACAGATACCTGTGATCTGCTCACACTGAGCCCTGTCCGGTGCCTGGTGGTGGGATGACCTTATCTCCTGGATGCTCTTCTTTTTGGTCCTTGGGAAAAGTCCCTGGCCAACCTCCCTATTGACACCTGGGAGACTCAGCCATCCTGGAATGATCACTATCTTTGAATCAAGCACTGACTTCTCAGCATTTACACCTTGTCAACCACCTGTTAAATGCTCTTTCAATGATTTTCTCAGGATTTGTTTAAAAAGGGTGTGGTTATAACCCCAAGCACGTGGATTTTGAGAACCCTAAAAAGAAGAACCCCTCAGGGAAAGAGCCCTCTCTGATTTCTCCCAGAACACCTCATTTCATCTTCTCATCCATTCACTTGGTTGCAAAGTGGCTTCCATTTCGCCTGACTTTATTGCAAAAAGTGGAAATAAAATCCAGGATCTCAAACACTGCCCCTCAGGAAACAGGCACATCAGAAAGACCCTGGTCTCTACTTCTCCAGTCCCGGAGATTCTGTGTTTTGATTCCTGTGTGTCCATTACAAACACTGGAATACCTGACTTTTCATTCCCTTTCAGTATCGGAAAATGAGCTGAGTTTTCAGCGTATTCCCTTCCAGAGAGTTTAGTGCAGAGATAATCTGCCCAAATCCAGTGTCATGGTTTCCTGAGTCAATAAAGAAGCCAACACGTGAGTTCCTTCAAGAAAAATAAAGAGAATTCCCAGACTCCAAATTTCATGTGGCAGCTGTGAGATGGGGCTGGTAGGATCCATCCTCACCTCAGGTCACACAGGAGAATATACAACTTTTAGGTCCCCATGGGAGGCAGTCAGTCACGCCGTCTGGGGGACATGCAGGAAAATCCTCAGGGAGGATTCTGTCTACTCAGCTGCCTCCTTCAGCAGCTTCCCCTGAAGAAACCCCGAAGTCTTAGGAATCAGTTAAGAGCAAAGGTATTAATTGTCGCTGATAAAGTGAAAAACCAGCCATCTGCCACCCAGTAGGGAAGCCACTTAAGACAACTTTAGGACAATTTCCTACTTCTACCCTGGACATGTCTTCACATGCAGAAGCTGTGGCAGTCGCCCCTGAAACATTGTTCCAAGTTGTGCTTCTAGGAATCTGGTCGTAGGGTGCCTCGCTCCCAAATTCTGCCCAGACTGACTTTTGTTTTTTTCAGCCAATTTCGTAGATGAAAAATAATGTCTTGTTTCACTTTTCAATCCTTTGTTGCTACCCAGCCGAAACATTTTTCCACGGGTACTGGCCATTTAGATCTCCCTTCCTGTGAAATGCTTTTTCATAGCGTTGATGCTGTGTCTTAATTAAGTGTAGGATGCAGAGGAAAGAATGGAAAAAATTAACAATTATTGATTGCTTGTTACTTGCCAGACAGTGTAGACTATTGAATTCCCAGGGACTCACTTATCCTTACAACAGGTCTGTTGTTTCCCCATTTTATGGGTGATGATGCTACAGCTTCTGCATGTGAAGAAAAGCCTAGTGTAGAAGTGGGAAACTGTCTTACAAAAGGTTAGTGTAAAACGGAGAGTATATGGTCATCAATGCCACAACCCATGGCTTTCTGAGTGACCTCTCCACTGTTTGAAGTAATCCTCCAGTGAATAAAAACACTTTCTCTATGATAATAAAACACTGCTTCTTTGTGATAATGTCTCTTATAGGCAATCATCTCCTCTTGCTAATTTTTCATTCAAGGTGGAATAATTGGGGTAATTGGTGCTGATAGGCCACTCTCTGAGGAATTTCTCAGAAAACCTCATGAGATGTTCTCCAGGAGGCTGCACCAGAGGGAATGAGGCCTCGTATTTCTGCCATCCTGCTGTATCCACTGTGATGGAGTTTAGTCCAGGTACGATGACAAACCGGAAATGTAGAAATGCAAGCGCAGGACCAAACCTCTCCCCTTGTCCTGATCCCATGTGCTTTTCAATCGCTCTTGCTCTGTGTGCTTTAGGGGTATTTTCTTGAGAGAAACAGAGCACAGGAAACACTGTTCTTGGCTCTGAATCTTTTGTCTGCAATTCCTGTTATACATGGATCTAACCAGCGGATGGCGGACTAGCCATTAGGTTTCCTAGCCCTGCTTTTCCTTGATCACACCCACTTGTGGAGTGTGCGGGCTTCACAGGTACAAATTAACAAAGAGGAACATTTTGTTTTTATCTGAGCTGGGATTCCCTTTGTGAGGTTGGGAATGGGAATGTCCAGTTATAATTCAGAGATGACAAATACTACTCCGAAAAACGAGAAAAGAGATTAAATAATGTGTGTCTTTGGCGCCTCAGCTCTGAGCTGCTGATTTCTTGTGTTGAGTGTCTGAGAGATGCTGAACATTCAGTATAAAGCAGGACACTTCGAGTTCTCAGAGGATCCTCGTTCGTAATTGTATTGGAAAATAGTTTGTCAGTTTCATCACTCTCCCCCAGCCCCGACCCCGTGTCATTTTTAAGGAAGTTAAACACTGATCTCTTCAAAAAAATTACCAACAGATGAAATAATATACTGTCTGGGGTTTTCTTCAGAATAACGCAGTGTGTGATGGTTGGGGTGTGGATGAGTCCCGATGGGGCGTGATCGATGGAGTGCTGAATGAAGGGTCAGGGGGTTCACTCACATTCTCTCTAATATTGTGTGTGTGGAAAATTTCCTCAGCACAGAGTTTAAAAAACAAGTATGAAGGTCACCCAGACCCAGTCGGGGCACCGCGGATTCT